CGAAGGCGACTATGGTGACGAGTAGTCAGGGTTTGTCAAAAGTAAAAATCGGTCACGCCCATGCTAATTTTCTGCGGAAATACCGCAAATATTGGAAATTACAGAGGAAATTCTTCATGCTAGCCCATTTCCCGCATGCTTCTATGAATTCAGGCTAAGATCAAGGTGGCTCTCGCTTTAGCATGTTATCGCACGCCCTAGTCCAGCTAAACATACCTAAATGAGGGTTGAACTGTCCAGTACGCATGCACATCCAGGCGTGTTTCTGGTAGGGTCACGAGACTTGTGTTGGCAATGAGGAGAGTACATGGAGGATGCAAGATGGTCACGCGACAAACAGCAGTCCAGCAGGTTAGAGCGATATATTTCCAGGTCGTTTTCGGGGGTAGATGTATTCCGAATTTATGATTGGCAAATCATTGAGTTACGGATTTCTCATGCTATATGTCAGCAGTGATAACATATAGCATGAGAAATCCTCGTGCGGGAGGTGTTCACGCCGCGTGAAACACGCGTGCGAATCTAACCAAGGACTGCCCAAGACCAGATCGAAGCTTGTTGGCCTTTCATGCGCCTTTGCTCATTGGCTTCACTCTGTGCGATCCATCCGCATTGATTCACTCAAGATATTCTGATGGCCCGACTCATTGAGTCTGGCAGACTCTACAGTGATCTTCACTGCCCCGACAGTCTGTCCGCGTGAACAGTTCACGTGGACAGACTGTCGGGAAAAGAAAATGTTTTCGATAACGCAGTTCACGATCAACTACTTTATCGAAAACATTTTCTTGTGCAGCACAGTTGGCAGAAGTTGACCCCGCAGAGCTCATAGTGCAAGCATCATCCCTCCTATGGATATCTTCTACAAAGATTCTTCTTCCTCAGATTGGGGTACTGAAGGCCGATGGCAGTCTGTGTTTCAACCATCAGCATCCCAAGCGTGACTAAGGAAACTCGTCACCATCTATGCTTCCGAGAGTTTATAGAGTAAAGCGGTATGCTATCACATGGCTCTAATACAGTGTGCGTTATGTCATCTGTAAGGGTTGTTCCAAGGGTTTGGAGTTTCTCGCAGCCCAAAAAAACTCTTGTGACAAGAGTTTTGTCTACGCTAGTATAGACAAGAGTCTTGTCTAGTAGACAATGCCTTCACTAGCATGGAAGACGGGTGTTAGTTCCAGTTATGGGTTTGTATTGTGAACCGAATCATCCCCCTTGAGGCCGCTTGTGCACAGGAGATCGGAAAAAGGGTATCTGGACTGCAATATCACACAAGTAGACACAAAGCTTTGTCCCCGTCCGAGACATTCCTAGCTGTATCCGTTTTGCATCTTTATCTTTTCCCTGAGGATTATTTACCTCTGGTCGAGTTACATAATAGTGCAGCGTAGCAGCTCCTTGTTATGAATATGGGTGACAACAACATCAACGAGCATCATCTATACTAAGGAGCGTATTTTTTTCTTAGGCAAATTCAAAAAATCTGTGTTTCTCGTTAACGAATTAGAGTTTTGAGCTGAAACTTCAACAGGATATACTTATTATCATGATACATCACATGTTGAGTCGAAACGGTCATGTTCGGGACGGTTACTGATATATCATGGCGAGCGAAATAATCACCCCCGCGAACCGTGCAGATTCCTTAGGCAACACAATTTGATCTCGTTATTATGCCACAGAAATTGCTTCTAACCGACACCGAGAAAGCCGTCGTAGTTAAGAGGCTTGCTGAAGGGGCTAAGAGCGTCGAAGTTGCGAAGGAGCTTGGAAGGGACCACCGTACTATCAAGAAGTACCTGGAGGACCCTTCTAAGGTGTACCAGAGGAGGGGTGGGCCGTACGAGAAGTCTGTTACGCCACGGGAGAAGAGAAAACTCAAGAGAGAGATGGCTATAACTTCATTAGCCACCAGTAAGGAGTTGTTTGACGCGGCGGGGGTGAGTAAAGGGAGCAAAAGCACCAGGTGCAAGGTGCTGAAGAGCATAGGGAAGGTCTTGAAAGCCAACCCCAGGCCTTCCTTGACGAAAACCCATAAGGAGAAAAGGGTGCGATGGGCGAAGGATAACATGAAGACGGATTTCTGGAAGGTGCTGTGGACGGACGAGTCACGAGCGACGCTGGACGGCCCCGATGGGTGGGCCCGAGGGTGGATTATGGATGGTACCGCTTGTCCGAGCCGATCCAAGCGTCAACAGGGAGGAGGTGGCGTCATGATTTGAGCCGGGATCATCGAAGGGAAGGTCGTCGGTCCCGTGAGAGTCCAACAAGGAGTGAAGATGATCTCGCAAGAGTGAGATAGAGCCTACGGCTGGGATGATGCAGTAGTGAGCCACGCAGGTACACTAAACTTCTCGACCAGTGCTTCTTCCCATGGTATCGGAAGCTCGGGAGGGTGGCCAAGCGTGACCTGATATTCATGCAAGACAATGCCCCTCCCATGCCAGCAAGTTTACCAAGGACTACCTCGAGAAGAAAGGATTTACCGGCAGAAAGCTCATGAATTGGCCTCCCAATTCGCCGGATATAAATCCGATTGAACGGTATTGGAGCATCTTGAAGAAGTGAGAGCTTGTTTGAGTTTGTTCACGTGTAGTAGGCCCGTCTTAGTAAGTTGTACTCTGGAGGGAGGCAGTTTAACGACCTCGAGTCTCTGTGGAGGGGTATCCAGGAAGCTGCAAAGGCTATTTCTTCGGATGAGGTCCTTGCACTCACGAGATCTGTTGATGACCGACTCGCACGTGTTTTGGCATGCAAGGGTGGTCATATTTCGCCATGAACCATGAAGTTTGAATCATTTCTAAGAGAGAACTCAGTGGTTCTGTTGTGTTGCGTAAGGAATCTGCACGGTTCGCGGGGGTGATTATTTCGCTCGCCATGATATATCAGTAACCGTTGCGAACATGACCGTTTCGACTCAACATGTGATGTATCATGATAATAAGTATACTCTGGAGAAGCTTGTCGATAATCTCACTAAGAAGTTGTCGGTGGCTACGCAGATACAGTGTGGTGAACAGCTCCATCAGCGAGTACTAGACTATGGCAATGAGACCCTTGAAGGGTCACCCTTCTGACCTACCAGAATGATATTAGACGCCTGGCACATCGAGCCTATCGGATAGGCCCTATCCAGACATGCAGGAGCAACAGCTCAAACCGGTGGTTCTCATGGCATTCATTCGTGGTCTTCGTGGAAATTCAATCGAACTTGCACGTAAGGTTCGGAATGCCAATCCCCCCACCCTGGAGAAGGCGTTGCAGAAGGCGCAATTTATCATGTCGGATCCTTTCATCGATGAATCTGAACGACCAGAGCAAGACGCTATGCAACATGAGCTGGCCGCTATTGGTAATATGGAAAGACCGGCAGCAGCTTATGAACAAAATGGTGACGACGTGGAGCCTACGGTATCATCATCCTCATCAAATGTCAATTCTTGGCTATCTCCTGAATGGATGGAAAAAGTTGTGAGCGCCATTGCCAAGACGCAGAGGAAATGTGGTTACTGTGGTAAGGAAGGCCATCTAGAGTCTGAATGCTTCAAGAAGAGACGAGATCGTAGAGGACAAGCACTCTCAACTATTCCTAAGAGAGCAGAAGGTCCGAGACTACGACAAGAGTATCCTCGAACTCCCGGTGCTACGTGTGGTTATTGTCTGAAACGCAACCACACTGAGGAGCAATGTCAAACAAAACGACGTGCGCTCGAGCGTAAAGGCCGTCCTTCTCCAAGTGCTACATCGATGCCTTCGAACGAGGTGAATATTGTCAGCTTAGAGACTTGTCATGGTAACACCACGCCCCTACCGGACTCTTGCACGCTGAGTGTGGCACTTGAGGCATGTGGGTCGTCAGTACGAACTGAAGCCTTGATCGACAGCGGGTCTACTATATCTATCATTGACATGGACACCTTATCGAGTATGTTAACTTCTCTCACAGTTGACACGGAGGATACGCCTGTCTGCAAGACGGCAGAATGACATTCGTTGAAGACTTTAGGGTCGGTTTCTCTTAATCTATCCGTCCTTGGAGCTATTTTCGTGGCTAAGTTCTACATTACGGAAGTACCTCTGATTCACCCCGTGATAATAGGACGTGACATCATGACGCAAGGTAGTTTTACTCTCCGCTTCGATAACAACAAGGGTCGTAACTCTCGTGTGGCAGCCATTATCAGTCAAGAAGATCATGACGATGAAGATTGGCGACAACTACCATCTGGTTGGAGGTTACAGGAAATAGTATACTCCTCGAACAACTTGTACATCGTGACAGCTATCTCTGATAACAACGCTAACCAAAAGTTTAGGTTTTACGTTGGTTTCAACCCCCTCATCATCAGTCCGGCATTTCACTCAGAGCAGCTGAGAGCGCAAAGGCCTCACAAGAAGTTCCGTGAACCCTCGTTAGAGGCAAAGCAGGCTGCGTCGGTTATCTTCCGCCAATGGATAACTGAGGGGCGCCTAAAGTTTAGGCCCTAAACCCAACCAGCCTGAGTCCTAGATCGTCGACGACCAGCTGGTATGTGGTTGGCGGTGATACCAGACGCTATCGTCCGGTCTTCAGTTTTAAACGTTTGAACCAGTGCTTGAGAAAAGCATTCGGGAAAAGTGGATTTCCTAGTATCTAGATAGAGCTCTAGTATCTACATTGGTAGAGAAGACCCGGTGCTATAAGTATGCTATCATCAACGGTGTGATGGATGCGTATATGAGGATATGATTACTCCCGAGTAACCGACGCTACTTTACGGTGAACATCACTCCCTTTGAAGCATCTCCCACTTGGTATGAATTCTGGTGTCTACCCTATGGGTCATCGCATTGTCCGCGGATTTTGGAATTGTGCCTACAGTGGCTGGTACAGCACAACTTCAGGCCAAATGTCATTTGCGAAATTCAACCCTACATGGATGATCTGGTGATATTCTCTCATAAGGAGGATGTTGACGTTGAACGTCAACTCCAAGAGCTCTGTGGTAACTACGATCTCAACCTCACGCCTACAAAGAGACAGGTCATCACAGAAGGCGACACCAAACTACTTGGTGTGATCCCCCCTGAGAAACTCGACAGCTTCAAGTTGAAAGTTCCTAGAGAGGGTTGCTCATATGCGAACCTATTGGGTACCCTGGGGTCCCTCGATGAATCTCCAGTTGTACCTGCTTGGGCTGCTTGGAAGCTCATACACTCTACCGTGCGTTCGCTGCTGTTCATCAAATTGAACTAGCTGGTCATCGTCGATTCCCCGAAGTCCATTACCATGTCGAGAATGTCGCAGTTGAAGCTACTTTCAGGGTTGGTCGGCCGGCGACATTCTCCAATAAGGACGCAAAGCCCATCTTGGCTAAGTACGTGGCAATGGTGAATGCCCTGTATGACCCGTTGGACTTCGGGAGTATTATCTTTGTCAAACGTGTGTCTACCACCGACAATCCGGCAGACTGTTTAACTCGTCATGATTTATTAACAAGCTTTGTTCAGTTCGCTAACAGCAAGTCTATCGACTTATGTAATGTTAGCAGCTCGCCAACTTGTTCGAATATTGCTCATGGATATGCTCCTTCTTAAGGTGTGACTATAGCAGCCCTCGGGGTGACGATTCCATCAAGGAAACTTCACGGTTTACCAACCACCCACGAGTTATGTGCAGGTCAGGGGAAGGACAGTCGAATTCAGCTTGTCAAACAATTGTTACAACGTCATGAAGGTGCACCTGCTGATCTCGATCGTGGTTATGTGGCGGTATGGAGTACTCTATTAGTACAAAGCGGTCTCTTGATGAAGCACTATGCACCTGAAGAGGGAAAATCACCTACTGATGTTCTGGTGGTCCCCGTTTTACCAACTCAGTTAGTCCCACGGGTGTTGAACTACTTCCACGACCCTACTGGCGCAGCACACTTGGGCATTGTGAGGGTAGTTAGGGCGATAAAACGGAACTACTGGTTTCCGCACCTTGCACAAAGAGTGTGTGAACACATTGGTACTTGTCCACCATGTTATCGACGACAGTTGAAGGCAATATGGAGGCAGGACGGTGTCCAACGAGCAGCCCCTCCAAGACCATGGCATACCGTATGTGCTGACGTGGTTTCTATTTCAACCCCTAAAGGAAGAGTGTTGTTGCTTACAGCGGTATATCTCTTCAGTGGTTGGCCAGAAGCTCGTCCACTCAAGTCGAAGTCCTCGAAAGAGACTGCTCAAGCACTTCGAGAATTCAATTCTCGTCTGGGTAAATTTCGTATACTGCGAACTGATGGTGGGCTCGAGTTTCGTGGCGACGTTGAAGCCTATCTGAGGTCGATAGATGCCTCTCATTCCGTCAACTCACCGTTCAGTCCAGTGGCAGCTCTAGAGCAACTTAACAAGACACTTATCAACAAGTTCCAAGTAGCGGTATTATACCGCCGGTATATACTCCGGCATGGTCTACATTAAGTTAATGTAGACCATGCCGGAGTAATAGTCAATGTCATTAACACTGAGCGGAGTTCTCGATGATATATTGTGGAGCATTCGATCAACGCCGACATCAGTTCATGGTATTGAGCCTTACACCTTACTGTTTGGTCGACATCCACACCAAGATGGGTTGTATAGCCAAGGCAAACAGGCGCGCCTATTGGAACATGTTGAAGATGTACTAGCCGAGCGGAGGTCTAAAGCCCTGCTATCACGTCCCCTGAAGTGCCCCAATTAGCCCCTGGTTGCTTGGTTTTTGTTCGAGATCGCACATTTGACCGAGCTTTCAAGGTCAGTAAGAGGTGGAAGCTTATGCGCGTCCTTTGGCAGACAGGAGTAAAGGTCCTTCTGTGCTCAGTGAGCCATCAACAGGTCCTCGAGCGCCACGTTCGTGATTGTGTTGCTGCACCAGACTCTGCACCAGACTCTGGTGACCAGAGTCTATCGTTAGATCCTCCTTGGGGTCTACTCACGATTGAAGACAACCTGCACCAAGATCGACAGCCTTTCGCATTCCTGTACTTGTACTTCGTGGAACCTCTACCGGTAGCGTTCCTTCGACCACACCACTGGTTCCGTCATCTATGTCTACAACTACATCAAGGACAGCTCCAAGCAGCCGGAACAATGATGCCGGAAGCAATCAATCGGCGGTAAGGACCAGAGCGGGCCGATTGATAAGGCCGCCCAGAAGATTCGGGCTCTAACAATGTTGACACTGTTGCTATTGTTTTTGTCCGTTGATTTTTGTGAGAGGGAAATCTGCAATATCACACAAGTAAACACAAAGCTTTGTCCCCGTCCGAGACCTTCCTAGCTGTATTCGTTTCGCATCTTTATCTCACTATCTTTATCTCTCTCTATTGCCATCGCTATTTCTATGATAGAAATTCTATCACGAAAAAACAACAGTCAAGAAGACCAGCATACTAAAAATGATCTTCACATGAAGTTCATGTCATGAACACTCTACACCGAAGATCAAGCGATTCCACAACCCCTCATCAACATCCCCACCATGAACCAGCTCAAGAGTCCTACTTCTATGTTTTCTTTCGATAGTTTCCTTCATTGTGATCTATTCTTTAGACTCTCGCTCGGATCGAAGTTTCCGTCAACTCTACTAATCTGACACAGGACGGCAGGTCTGCAATGACCGCTTGGAGGGGATTCGAAAGAGCCGTCGCAGCTCGACTCATTTTGCAAAGACTGTTGCCGGGTCTGAATAACTTAATAGAGCCAGAACCGGAATATACAGCTCAACGATAACGTGATGGGACCCACGAGTTGCGGTACGGCTCGCATCGCTCGAGATGGCGGACTACAAATTCTTACGAATCACCAGTTCTCAGCCACGGCCACATCAAACATAGTAGCGTCCTCATCCCCCACAAAACTTCTTCTTCACACACGAATCGTCTGTGAGGTCGGCGACGAGTCATCTGAGACGATGTCTCGTGTACCATAGTATTATCTTGCTCTTCGGATTAGAAGCTCAATTCTTCTTGCTTGTGCTTTCCGAGGTTGTTTGGCTCCTGTCTGCTGCGTCGCTCCTCGGCTCTTTGGTGTTGTGAAGGTCTGTGAGATTCGGCTTGTGTCAATTGTTGTCTCTTGTGATATCTGTCCCATTGTGGTTGATTCTCAGCGTATCATCGCTGAGCTAAGCTGTAGTCATTTGCATACCAGTGATGATTATTAGTTAAGTCTCTCTAATATTTTGGTCGACGTTGGGTTCTGGCTCCCAATATGGCACCTCGGGCTGTATCCACTATAGGAGACAAAGACTTGCCATTAGCGACGTCTGAACTTGATATGACTATTCAAAGTTGTTTGGATTATGTATGCTCTGGGAAGGCGTTGGAGTTTTCTGGGGTTACTGCTCAAATAGGAAGGAGTGTGTATAATGGTCTCAAGGCAGTCTCAAAGGACGATCTTCCTGAAGAAGGGCTAACGGTTAAGATAGTTAAGCAGTATCTTTTAGACACCCTTGGTTACTTTTGTGAAACTTTTGGTGTAGAGGACTGTAACAACTTTGAGGATAATATGGTATGTTATCTATTACCAGTGTTAGTAGAGTCTGATTTGTTGCTGAAGAAGCCTTCTGAGTCAGAGTTGAGAGATTTGAGGCATGATAAGATTGCGGCCACTAAGGATTTGGCTTTTGATCCGTTCAGCTTCTTTTCGCCAACTTTTCCCCAGTACTTCTCTCAACTCCATCAACCCGACCCTACGGTGGAGGCTGCTGTTGTGGCAGCCCCGAAGCCTGATGTTGGAGATGGCCTGTTATTTAATGCTAGTCCGGTAGAGACTGGTTTTCCGGTTGTTAGATCGGTATCTACCTCTTCTAAGGACCCTCGACATGATGTTCTTGGTTTGTTGCCCAAATTTGAGTTGAAGGATGCTGTAATTACTTCTCAAGAACGCCGCCAAGCTCGAAAATCGGTTAAGGATATAGAGCTTTTGAAGGGAGGTGTCTTCACTGGTAAAGGTGATAGCCGATCTATGCGACGAGTACTTACCTATGTTCGTGATGTTGCAATTGAGGAAGCTTTCACGGCATTAGAGTATCGGGAGCTATTGAAGCGTCAGATTTCTCAGACTGCTCGAGCTGCTGTTCATCCTCGTAGAGTCACTACTCAGCCTGCTCTTATTCAAGAGCTGCGACGAGAGGTCTCAAGCTTTCTATCACTTTATGGTCAAGGAGACTCTGGCAAGTTGGATTCTTGGAAAAGCCTACTATTTTTATCACAAGGAAAGTCCGAGAAAGTTGCCACCTTTGCCCAGAGGTTTGATGACGCCTATAATGATGCGGTATGTCTTGGTAATGTCATAGATGATGCTCAGGCCGCACTGCAATTTGCGTCATCTTTGAATGAGCAATGGTCGGTTAGTGCTGCTACTCTGATAGCTGCTGGTGTTACTTCGTTGGCGGACTTAACTTCTCGCTTAGTCGCAGAAGAGAAGCTGTTCAAACATTCGGTGAATGTTAAGGTCTCGGTTGGTAATGTTGACTCCACTGGTGGTAAAACTATATCTGTCTCGAGTAGTCAGAGAGTGGGAGGTCAAGCTACTAAGGAAGATGGTGTAAGATCATGCTTCTATTGCCATCAGCCGGGTCACTTAAAGGCCGACTGTCCCCAACTCCGTGCTAAAAGGCAGAATAAGCCAGACCCTATTGGTAAGGATCAAATGGCAAAGCCTGTTCCTAAAGAAGGGCCAGGTAAAGTCACTCCAGTGGCTTCTATTGGTGTTGTCAGGAATTCCAATGATACGGAATCTGACATTTTTTCCCCTAGCACGCGCGTGGTGTCTGTGTGCGGTACCGGGACAGCTGAGCACGCAAGCCCAAAGATTGACCACAAAGCCCTCTTTGATACAGGTTCGGTTAATAATTTTATCTCGAGAAACCTTGTTGATTTACTACAATCAAGTAGTATTGAACTTAAGGTGAATCCTTTGGATGGTGAAACAATTAAACTTGCCGATGGTTCGCTTTGAGAATCTATGGGTGTTATATCTTTGTTGATAGGCGTCGACGGTGTCAGTCGTAGCTTATCTTTTTATGTACTATCTTCACTATGTCCCGATCTTATTATTGGTTGGAATGGTATGTGCACTTTGGGGGTCATTGTCAAGACTCAGCAGAACGAGATTGTATGTACGGGTGCCGTCTTTGGGGAGAAGAAGGAAGATTCTGAGGAACCTCAATGTCTTGCTAGGATGGCCAAAGGTTCATCTCCGGCTATTCTGGGCACTGACGATTTTCATCATGATCCATTCAGTGAGCTTATTATATCTGAATCATATTGGTATCATCTGCCCAGTGCTCCTGGTTATCGTATCCGGGTTAGACGGCTACGAGAAGGCGAGCAGAAGGATACGGAGAAGCAAGTCTTCGTTTTCGAGTTGGATCTTAAGGGAGCAACTAAACCTACTACCACTACCCCTCGTACTTCCAACTACTCGGAGAGGCTCATATCACGATTGTCTGAGGAGGATCGTGAGTTATTCTATGCTGAGGTGGATGGTTACTTATCACGCGGTTGGTGGCAGGAGGAGATCCCGTCACCACAAGGCACGGATAACAGTCTACCTCCCATTACTGTATTTCCGGTTAAAGCTCCGGGGAAGGCCTTATCCTCTACCCCTATACGGCCATGCTGCGACGCTCGAGCCTACAATAATCTAGCGGAACCTGCTGGTTACTTGGGAGCTGATATTTCGTCACTAACCTCTAGGTTATTGGGTGCCTACCGGAAAGGGGACTCCTTGTATATGCTAGATTGTAGTCGTGCCTTTTACCGGCTAAGAACTAACTGGTATCTCCCATTGATGGTCGGTAGGAAGCGATTCTGGAGCAATCGAGTTATCTTTGGAATATCGGCTGGTCCCTCCTGTTTGGAGTTCGCGATGACGTTTTTGTTACGTTATGTAGCAGCTCTGGACCCATCGCTATCATCGGTACGATTTGATGTAATTTCCGGTTGCTGTAAGGTGGCGGGATCATGGATATATCTCGACGACGTTACACTGATGGGTAATGGAGCTGACGGAAAACTTGAAAGGTTTTATAAGCTGTTTGTGGAGACTGCTGAGAAGTTTGGTCTGTACTTTCCCCCCGAGAAGCAAAACTATCTGTCTCCGTTTAAGGCTAGTGGTCCGGTGACCCATCTTGGTTCATTGTGGTCAATAGTTGATGACCATTTGCAGTGTAGTTGTCGCAGAGATATTAAAGGTTTTCAACAGTTGTTTTCTGAACCTGTTAAATCGAAGCGTGACTACTTTGCTATTGGTGGAAAACTAGTTGATTATCCAAATGACCATGCTAGGGCTCGCCTTGCTAGTGATCTTTTAAGGAGCATTATTGGAGGTTTCCAAACTCCATGGGATGAACGAGTTCAACTAGGAGAGGGAGAGGCTCGTCAAGTAGATACCCTCTTGAACGTGTTGAAAGAAGATTTCGGTACTCCTTGTTCACATTTGAGTGCTACTGGTAATGTGGCCATTTTGGAATGTGATGCGAGTGCTGCCGGTTATGGTTATATCTTTAGCTGTGGTTCGTATCATGCTTCTCGTGCTAAGGTTTTTCGTACCAACCAATTGGCATGGCACGTCAACCGCAAAGAAGCTTGGTGTATCATTCAAGGTTTACTCTCTATTCTGCCATTATTGGAAGAATACTGTCCATCGTCAACTGGTGTGTCCTGCCCATTAACTTTGAAAGTGGTAGGTGACAGTAAGTCGGCTCTGGCTTGGGCGCGCGATAACCGGAGTAACGTCCGTAGTGTGGAGCGTCTGGCTATCCGTCGAATGCTGAATACCCTAGATGATATTCGTGCAATGTTTGATAAGATGAATGTTCGCCTAGAATTTGTGAGAGTTCCTGGATCAAGTAATTTGGGAGCAGATGAACTCAGTAGACTTCTACTGAAGTGGAAAGTCTGTCCATGTGAAGGTACCAAGCCTGACTCAACCAGTGACTTGTCTGCACTATGTTCTCTATCTCTCATGGTCGAAGGTGTTAATGAAGATGAGGAGATCTTGAAGAATGGTGGTAAAGAAGTGTGCCAGTCCCTTATGTCTTTGGAGACCAGTCCACCAGCTACCGTTGTGCAATGGTTACTTTCTCTACAGAAGCGTGATCCTTTTATCAATTCTGTCCGAGAGTTCTTGGTGGAGGGTAAGAAGGATGCTTATTTGGAACGACTACTCAGAGATCATGGCCGACAATATGAGCTCAACCACTGTGGTCTTGTCGTTGAGTGCAGATATACCGATAATCTGGAAGGTAGAATTTGTATACTACTTCCTGGTGATCCTGACGTTCTAGCCAAGTTTGCTCGCCATTATCATGAGAATAACTCCCACTGCTCGGTTCGTTATGTTACCTATCTATTTTCTCGAGACTTTTATGCACCCAACTTCAAGCAAGTGGTGAGGTCGGTAATCCGAACATGTGGTCCATGTGCGGAAAAACGGGTGAAATTGGCCTCGTCTGGTGGAAAAATTTCTTATGGTCAGTCGACGTCAGACCTCAGTGGTGTGTGGTCCACAGTATATGCTGATACTGCGGATATATTGGTTAAAGATAGATTTGGTTACCGGTATTTGTTGGTAATAGTGGATAGTTTATGTGGCTTCTGCTGGTTATCTCCACTGAAATCTTTGGAAGCGGTGGAGTTAGTCAGGGTGGTTTGTGGCATTTGTAACCGGATAGGTTGGCCACGGAAATTTGTGAGTGATGGTGGTCGGAACTTCACATCTAAGTTGACCAAGACTATGTTTTGTCGTGAAGGAGTGCTTCAAGACTGGGTACCTCGGTATGCTGCTTTTTCTAATGGTCGTGCGGAAAGATGTATAGGTAGCATCAAAGCCAAGATGCAGACCCTTAATCGTTCCCAGAAGCGTGAGTGGTCTATCCATATACCTACTATTAATAAGAGTATTAATCTTAGCCCTCTATCGACCGGTACAACGCCTTTTGATATTTTTTTCCAGCGACGTTATGATAGTCCCCTTACAAGGAAGATTGAGGCTATCAACGAGTTGGCTATGCAAAAAGAGATGTCGATGGAGACTTCTGGCGTCAAGCCAAATAAGAAGTGTTTTAAGATTGGTGACTTGGTAAGACGGTCTAATAAGGAGGTTAAAGATAACTCAGTCTATGAAGTGATGAGCTGCGGTCGCCACAGTGTGAGTATTCGCCGTCAAGGTGATGTAAATAGTTTGCCCGTGAAGGAGCATGTTAGGAATCTTGTACTTGCTCAAGTTGAGAATCACCTTGTGGGTCATCTCCTCGCCAGTCGTCTTCCTTCACGTTATCCGGCAGGCCATCAGCCTAAGTCTGTGACCTATACAATCAACGTTCCTATTTTTTGATATTGACTCGCAGTTCGCTGCACTGCTCACGTTCGCGTGGCCGAGTTGGTCAAATCATCACAAGTGTAAACATCATTATGATCATCATCATCATATGATGCCATAATACTCATGAACCCGAATTACATAATGCCATTATGGCATAATGATTATGTAAGTTATGTCGAGGTTTCGTGATAATCGACATTACGTGAATCATATATCATACATCTGTGGTTCTTATATTGTAGACTACAATTTGTAGTGCTATCAAAGGGGTCTCTTGCAGTTTCTTTTCTTTCAATGACATATGCAGTACTTCTTCACGAGCAGTAATCAACAAGAGCAATGGTACAGCTGATAAAGGCTGGCATCTCTAAGTCATGAGGCCAAACAGTAGACCAAGTATAACATCAGGAGTAGTGAGGCTTCAGCACTGCTGAATCAGCAGTCAAAACCAAATCTTCTAATAATATCATCGAGGGCTTCGGATAATGCTGCCAAACTTTTCTCATCTACTTTCCCAGCCATGGCTCGATGAAGCAGCTCAGTTGTATCTACGTTAGTGTCACAAGTGACTACATGGCTGGCAGTCAAGTCCTTTCCACATAAACCACACTGTATTACTCTTCGACTCCCTTCAACATATTTCATACTCCTCAAAGAGTCGCATCTAAGTCGACAGTTCCTATTCCATGAAAAGCGGGCGACATCATTAGCCAACACGTTGTTAATATTGAACTCTCCCTCGTCGTTTCGGGATTAACCCGTTTCAGACTGAACTCATTACCATTGATGTCTACGGGAAAGACGAAGTTGTGTAGTGGTCCGCTACTAAAGGAGTGAGGGAAGACACTTGTATCAGGTCTATCACGAATCGAGGCTGAGATAGACGAAATAGAGACGGCCCGAATAGTAGGGCCATCGGCCCTGGGTCAAAAATACCGCACACGAGTGATCATCCATGATTGTGTGTTGATCAGTTGCGGAAAGAGCAATACTTCCCTTGGTACCCGCTATTTAGACAAAACCCCCCGTCAGGACAGTCCTGAGAAGACGTCACTTGTGGGCAAGTATCGGAGCGAACTGAGTCTACCTTATCCTTGCTGCATCCGATAGTGCATGTATGGAGGAGGCATTGTGCCCATCCAGTAGCAGGCTCCGGACAGTCGGTGCTTCCCCAACAATTGTCACCACAGACCGCTGCATAGATCACTCTAGCCGCGAAGTTCTGAAAGAGATAAGCTAAATTGAGGGTTTGTACAACAATGCGACGGATATCTGAATGAGAGGGGTCGTTTAAGATTACATGGTAGTACATAATCCTGGAAGTGTGGCATTTACAACCAACCACACCCCCAGATTCATTAATGGTGCATTTACCTACGGGCTTCTCATACTCCCCACCCTCTGAAATTAGCACAACAATTGAGATCGATTTCATGCTTCGAGCTGTGACCGAATCCATATGACTGACCTGAAGTTGAGTTAGCATCGTCATTGTTGTCCGCTGTCGGAAATGGTCCGAGGACTTCGGTTCTGAAAGGAGTCCTATTATCACACAATGTAAGTCACACTCCCTCATCACGGACCCACCTCCCGACTGTGAAATCAGCCAAGGCCATGTTAAGGCAGACCAACAGTGGGACGTTCACGAGGTTGTACATTGGTGGTCCAAGATGTGTAGGCGAGTCGTTGCTGTGCGTCGCAAAACAAGATGGTCATAGCTGTCGGCTGTGGCACACGTGAGGCTCGAGCATCCACACAATGCGAGGGTCCATGAATTATTCCTGTTCCGATTGTTCGACTCCAATAATTTTATCGCTCGTTACGAAGGCGACTATGGTGACGAGTAGTCAGGGTTTGTCAAAAGTAAAAATCGGTCACGCCCATGCTAATTTTCTGCGGAAATACCGCAAATATTGGAAATTACAGAGGAAATTCTTCATGCTAGCCCATTTCCCGCATGCTTCTATGAATTCAGGCTAAGATCAAGGTGGCTCTCGCTTTAGCATGTTATCGCACGCCCTAGTCCAGCTAAACATACCTAAGTGGGGGTTGAACTGTCCAGTACGCATGCACATCCAGGCGTGTTTCTGGTAGGGTCACGAGACTTGTGTTGGCAACGAGGAGAGTACATGGAAGATGCAAGATGGTCACGCGACGAACAGCAGTCCAGCAGGCTAG